CTCATTTTTAAATATAAATATAATATTATTATTTTTTGAATAATTCTTTTAACCTCCTACTTTTCACATTTAGCAAAAACACCCTAGCAACCAAAAACATTTTAAACTTAACAAAAATACTCCTACCCACCCCAAGCCACTGCCGACAACCAGGCACCATCGTCGGCGGCCGCCAGTAGTGCCACAGATCTGGTTGTGACAACGACAGTGCCATAGATCTGGCCATTTCATGACCAAAGACTTGGTTGTTTCACGACCACATCTTTAGCCGTGAAACAGCCAGATCTCACCGTTTCCGATCGTGGATCTATGATCCATGCTGGAAAAGGCCTCACCGGCGCAGGGCCGGCCATATATGACGGGTCTTACGCCATTATGGCAACTTTCGGCAGCCTTTGGCGGCGGTCAACGACGGTTGGCAGTGGTGGCCAGTTTTGGGTACAATGGCATTTCTGTAAATAATGACAATAACAAGGGCAATGTCATCCAGAAAATATAAAAAGTGAGGACAAAAAGGTCTGCATGAGTGAATTGGGTGTTATGTAAATCTTAACAAATATAAGGGTAATTTGGACCAAATGCTCAACTGTTTAGAGGCAACATGGGACACAAAATTGGATTACTTGGGGTAAGTTTTAATAATAGCCCTCCCTCCCACAAGGTAATACAGTAAAACTTCTCTATAGTCATAATAGTGGGATTAATTAATTTTATTACTATGAGGAGATTATAACTTAATAGAGGTGTAGTAACAAATTTTTTTTTTTATAATTCATGTTTTAGTAGTACAGTATTAGGATTTCAATTGATGTTTTAATACTATTAAGATTTCAATTTAACGCTTCAATTGCCTACTTTTAAAACGAATAGAAGATCGTGTCTTGAAACCAGGAAAGATAAGTGTCATTGATGGAATTGTAAATGCAATTTTGCATGGTCAAATTGATGTAAAGTCACAAACTTTTGCCAATTGTTTTAATCATTACAAAATTATATAGCAAACTGATGTGAAGCCACATATTATTGCCAATTGTTTTAATCATTACAAAATTACACAGTAAATGGATGTGAAGCCACATACTATTGCCAATTGTTTTAATCATTACCAAATTAGGACACCCGATGAATTGCAAGTTACAAATGAAGTGGATGAGGAGAATCAAAGAGTCATTGTAGAATTTAGTGATCAGATTTGATAACTTCATTACACTAATCGAATGGATATTAATGTCTTTCTCAATCATCCAAATGAGCAATAAGTAATGTATAATTTAAATAAAGAAAAAATCATTATTACAATTAGACAAAAAGATAAAGGAAATAATCATGAGGATGATAGTACGGAAATACAAAAGGTTTGTGCCAAGAAGCTCTAAACATACTTGAGAAACTAGAAATATATGACTTCAACAAGAAGATGTTCATGCTAGCGAGTGATCTACCAACAAGTTAAAAGATGTAGTAACAATTCTAAAGCATAAATCATTATCTCAAACAACTTTAGATAAATATTTTATTTCATCTTAAACATTTAATGTAACATAACATATATTTTTTGCAATATACAGATAATTATTACTATGTGGAGGCAACTTTTCTTGAAACGGGAATTAGAAAAATTATAACTTATTACAATGTAGAGTTTATTCTTATTTATAACTATCCTAAATTGGGAATTAAATTTTTTATGACTATGTAGAGTTTATTCCTATATAGAGTATCACTATAAGTAGGTTTTACTGTAATATTCCCGGCAACTTACCCCACAAATGCCACTATTTGTCATAAAAGATTCCAGAAATAATTTTTTACAAATCAACCAAACATCGTCATCTGCTCAATTTTAAAAATATTACCCCATTTATCTAATATTCCCTTATCCAAACATACCCTATTGGTATTGAAAAATTACCGAAATCTTATATTACTTAACAACTAAACGTGATAATCAAATAATATAAGATAACATTACCTCAGTAATCCTATATAACCTCCAACCAAACGCCCCGTGAGAGTCCATTTGATAAGAAAAACGGTATCAGTAATACATTTTTCAAACTTTGATAGTTTATTTAATAAAAAGTGTGAGAGTTATCATCTGAGTGATAAATTCAAAAACCTTAAAAGAATTAGTCCATGTCTCTATGATATCCTCCATGTGACTGATAGATGTTTTCATTTTTTATTTTGTAATTTTATCTTTGATAAAAGGTAAGAAAAGACAAAAGACAACCTTTTTTTTTTTTTTGTTTCCTTCATTTTTAGTAAAAAAAAATTCAATTGTTTTTCCTTTAGATCGAATGTTCGATAGTCAATTCTCATAAAGAAGATTATTGGTAAAAATAATAAACAAAAAAAATTACTTATTGGTGGTACACCTAAATAAAATATCTTGGCTGGTGTAATGTGCTACACAGAATAATCTAATGAATTGTAGGTATCAAGGTTGGTCCCATTATAAAAAAAAAAAAAACAAAATTGTCAAGCCAAATGCATAAACAGGTGCCACTTACTATTCTACCAAATATTCTTTGGATTTCTGTTTCCTCAAGGGTTAATTAGTTAGAGCCTTTTTCTTTTATAAATTTTGTGTTTATATATTTTTGTTTTTTAAGAATATTAAAAATAATAGAAAAACATGAAAATTGAAAATACATTCTATATGTTTATCAAAATGTAAAATTTAAAAATAAATTTTATACATTTATTTGAAAACATAAAACATACAGAGAACCTATACAATCAATAAAAACCAATTTAAACTACCATTTATTTTGTTGTGTCTTAAAAAGTTTGTCTCTAGAATATCAATTGCTAGTTTCTGTTTGTCATTTTATGTTAAAAATCTATGATTAGAAATGAAAATTTGTTTTATAAGAAGAAGAAGAGAAAAATTTTATAACAAAGGAACCCACAATCTCTCTCTTTCACCCATTCTTTTATGCATTTTATCTGTTTCAAATACAAGAAAAAGTAACCCAACATAGATTTTACAGATTTTCATGCCAAAAAAAAAAAGTATACAAATACAATACAGAGAAATATAGCCGCACCTTCCTTTTGAGTTTAGGAAAATTATAGTCACATCCCTAATGTTTGAACATATATTAAAGAAAATTTGTATTTTATTAAAAGATAATTATTTACACCCCGAGGTTTCCTCAATACACTAAACCCTGTGGTATCAATATTAACTATGAACCCCTTCTTGTTAACATTTTTACGTTAGTTTTAACGAGAGAGGGGCAAATGATCTTTAAATACCTGATCCTCCCCATGCCATGCTTACCCACCCACTCGCCTTTTCGCACCACTGCACACTCCCGGCTTGTCAAACCAATCATAAGCTATCCAGTGTCTGATTGTTCTTGTTCACTTACCTATTTAAAAAAAAAACAGATGCATACAACATGTGGAACCCCCAAAAGTTCAGATTAAACTTGGATGTTAAAATTGTGACAAGTACACTTGAGCTTTCAGATAAATTTCCAAAATGGATACGCTAAAACAATGATTGGAAAACATTTATTACAAGTAAAATAATGTTAACACAAAATTCAAATGCATGGTCAAGTCACGTGACTGTTGTGCTATGCCGGTAAAGCTGCTTCTCATTAACTAATTTACAGTTACAATTTTTACATACAAAATCATGAGACAGAAACAGAATTATACAACTTTCCATAATGACATGGCGTAATGTACTAATTAAACAAATCAATACAAATAATATTGTCGAGACAAAGTAGGAAAAAGGCAAAGTGGGTATTGGAAAATTACTTAATTTTCTTCAAAAATCAGAATGCCCAATCAGCTGTGAGAACAGACATGTACAACAATCATTTCTGCAACAAATCGCATTAAGTCGGCATCAACATTTTGAAATCCCCATATTTATTTATTAGACGCCCATAAAGGAGAAATTAAAAGGAACATAAAAAGAAGAAAAAAAGAATTTAAGAAGGCGCACCTCAGACTACCTAAACTGTGTCTTCCTGCCGGACATAAAATCTAAAAGAATAAATGACGTGTATTATGTGCACGAATAAGACCTCTCAGGTGTTCTATCCACTCAAGTAAGTAACTGCATGTCTGCACGACCTGGGCCTCCTGGCTGAGGCGTAGGAGGTTTAATCAAGGGCCTTAATAAGTCCATGATGGTGGAGAAGGACGGACGTTTCCAAGGCTCGCTGCACCATAAGCATTGTATTGATGAGAAGGAGAATGTACAGAGGGACAACAAGTAAACAAAGTGATTGTAATTCAAAAATTGTTAGGAATTCTAGACTCACTTAGCCCAGCAAGCCTCAATTATCGAAGCTACTCGAGGATTTAAATCACGTGGAATCTCAAGCCTCTTCCCCTTGAAACCAACAGCTGCTACAACCTACAAGGCAACATATGTTGAGTTAAGTCTCAAAACAGAATTTACCCAAAGCTGAATGAGTTATGCTATGAAGTGCTTAACAAAATGCAGATTTCAATCTAGGAGTGAAATAGAAAATCTTAATTGACTACAAGAAAAACGGAAATAAAAAATAAAAAAAAATCAACACAAGCATTATTATGTAAAATATGTGGAAACACATAGTTAAAGCCCGAGTAGGAACTATAAAATTGCATTAAAATATTACATTATTACATTGACAGATATTTCAGTCCATAAGTAATTGTTAACTGTAATAATAAGTGCCTTAGAAGGGATGAATTTCCTATTGCATTTTTAGGCATTAAAATTTGTAGGTAAGAGGAAAAGTTGATTCTAAATAATTGATATGCATTTGAAAAAGTGTGTACAACATACACCAACAAAGTTACCAGCAATCAACATCTACTACCAAATCAAGAGAAAATACATATTATCTGAGAAGGTGGAGTCCAGCATGCATTCTGTTGGCTCACGTCCAGCCAACTTCTTTTCATTGATATTAACACAAAAACATATGAGTTTGTACAAATAATTACTGAAGTATTCTGACTAGATGGTATGTTTTATTGTTTCAATTATTAACAATAAGATGCAATCTCTAATACATAGATAAAATTATTTGTTTTGAATACCGGATTCCCATCTAACAACATTTCATAATTTGAAAATTACATGCAAGGCAAAAGATTAAAGAAACAAACCTGCGCTGGATTTAAGTTGCCCCAGGGCTGTTGCAATGTTGCAAGCTCCCACAATATTACACCAAAGCTGTATACATCTGACTTCTCATTTGATGGCTCATCGCAGAGAACTTCTGGTGCCATCCACTCAGGCTATCATGATAAAAGGAATGAATTAAAATGCAATAAACAGTTCATATGCCACCCTAAAATAAAAGACCGGGGATCATGTTGCTCTTAAGTTAAACAGAACTTACAGTCCCTGCAGCAGATTTTGATGACAGAAAAGTGTTTGCCTTCAAACGGGAAAGTCCAAAATCACAAACCTAGATGAACAGATCAGGTAAAATGAGAAAGATGAATGGTCATTTAGTCAACAATACAACAAAGGAAAGAAGACTTGGAAGCCAGGAAACACACATGCCCACAGAGTGCATGTTCATCATCCAAAGATGCCAACTAGACTAAGAAAAAAAAAAAAACAAAACAAAAACCACTAGAAAAAAAAATGAAAGTAAAAACGAAAATAAAATTTAAAAAAGTAAAAACGAAAATAAAATTTAAAAAAGTTCTATTTGTTTTCGACTGAAACTATCATAAGATATTAATTTTTGCAGCAGATGGTTCCGATATAGATCCAAAATTTTCAATAAATCAATTAGCAATAATTTATGCATTAAAGATATCATACAAACAACACAATCAATTACACCAAACATGATGAGCTCCCATTCATTGGGAACTATGACCATCAAAGCAACCCAAGAATTAAGAGAAACTAAGGGTGATATTAGTGCAAGAAACAACAGATGTGATAACGTACAAGGAAAATCAATGATTGGTCCAGTTCAAAACATGGAAGTTACCACAAGCTTGTCAAACAAAATATAAACACGGAGCTGACTTAAAAAAGCGAGCAGAATAATAAGGTTTCTCAATTCATTGATCATTTAACAGTAAACTGGTACTCTATCTGTGACATGAGAAATTCTCATCCTTACCTTCACTGTATACTTCTTGTCAACCAAAAGATTTGGAGATTTCAAATCTCTATGAACAATGGGAGGATTACGCCGATGAAGATAATTCATTCCCTTTGCCTGCACCAACAACAGTTCTTTAGCTCAAAGTTATGGGCCTAAAATATTAGATAACACTCTTATGATGACAACAAGGATAAAAAGTGAAAGACAATATATTTAAAGAGCAAAAAGAAAAAAAATATAAACTTCTTCAAAACATACCACATCATATGCCATATTCAAACGGCGCCTCTCATCCAACACCTCTCTTGCACCAGGTTTATGTAAAAGCCTATACAAGCTGCCTCTGCAATTTGAAGCAACCATGTTAATTCATTTAATGGATTAAATCCTGATAGTAACAAAAATGTACTGAAATAAATAACAAGAAAAAGGAAAAACAATTATTTTCATGAGATTTTTTCTTTTCAGGGGGGAGGGGAATTTCTAGGAAGAAATTATGAAACCTTGATAAATATTCTGTCACTATGGATAAGTTTGGGGGCTGAGTGACTGCACCCATAAAAAGAACAATATTTGGATGCCGTAGGCGCTTCATTATTGCAACCTAACAAAAAAATTAAGAAAAAGATATTGAATCAAGTACATCAAATAAAATAGATTCTTCTACTTTATACACAATTTACTACGACATACCTCCCTCAAAAATTCCTGAAAGCGTTCTCCATGAAAGTCTTGCTCCATGAGAATTTTCACAGCAACATCCTGTAATTTAAAAAAAAGCAAAAAAGTAAAGAAGAAACCAAAAAAAAGATATTACTGTTTAGAAAAAACCAAAAATGAATACCAATGCCAAAACCGGCAATTACCAAATAACTTATATTTCTAATGCCAGGAAACGGAGCACAACAATAAAACTATATATATATATTTGTATAAAAGAGGGGGGGGGAAAAAACTAAATGAAAACTAATTTATTGAGGCATTACATGGGAACCTGAATCAACAATTTGACGGAAAATATTAAAAGAAAATACAAGACATAAGATGGAGCATTCACTCTTACACCAAAGAAACAGTTATATAATAAAAAGTGCTTCCTAAAGAATAACAAATTACATATTCAAAGTGTCCTAACTTGAGAGCAAATTTTGTACTTTAGGCTTCAATCATCACCTGAACATTTATCAGACAACTGCAGTAATCCAAATAACGGCTTGCAGACAACTTGCATTTTTTTTGAGAAACAAAAACTGGAAACATGCAAAAATCTTCTACTTTTCCAAAATACAGTACCATTTGTTCTTAGAAAACTGTTTCCAAAATAAGCTAATAAATGCGTTGTCGAATCTTGAAAATATAAAATTCAATTTCATTTCACAAAAAAGTTCTCCAAACAGAATTTTGCAAAAGGTAATGGTTTCTAAAATGTCCAAAAATCAGGAGGTACTGATGAGAACTGGTTATTTTCTACCATATTGATTCACATTCATTAGACAGAAATATCTAACGATCTTCATATTTCATTAGAATCCATTAATTGTCCAAATACATAGCATGCACATAAGCAGTCAACCAAACAATGGTAATGCTAAAAACTGTCCACAATGTAGCTAAAATCCGGAAGTTCAACAAGATATGGGAGTCCACAATATTCTAAAAGGAAAAAGAAAAATAGAGTCAATCATTTAAGAACTAAAGATAATTTGCTTACCGAGCCATGCCAATCAGCACGATGGACAGTTCCAAAAGAACCTGAAAATGCAACAATGAATATCTAAGTACACAAGTACAACTCTTACAAAAAAAACCAGAACAAGCAGCAGTGCAAGCATGAGAGAAGTGTAAAGTCCATCCCAACTATGAAGCATTACGAGTTTTCAGTCCAGATGTTTCTTTAAGAACCAGGTGAAGAACAAATACCTGCTCCAATTCTTTCTTTTAGGACAAGATCATTCCATGGGATATCTAACTCTTCCACATAAAGGGAAAGGTCTTTACTTGGTTTAGTGGGAATCAATTGAGCACCCTCAGGAAACCTCAAATCTTTAGCTGTATCTACTATCTGATCAGTTAATGCCAAGCATGGTTGACCGTCTGTATGTCCAATAGGTTGGTTATGCTTCATAGGAATTGGATCATTAACCAAGTTTAAAGAGTGAATAATATTCTGAGTGGGATTACATGATTTAAAAAGTTCAGAATCTCTATCATGGGCACTTGGCCGAACTCCTTTTGGAGGCAGAGCTAACTGGGATTCATTGATGCTGCTAGAGAACTGCACAAGGTTCCTCTCTGTCCCCATCTTATCAAATTGCTTAGGATACATTGAGAATTTTTTATCTTCTTCTTCAACAGCAGAACCTGAAATGATAAAACATCATTTGCAAATTGGAAACCTTATACCACATCAACACAAAACCCAAACTCTTGTCATGTAAATATAAAAACATGAAATCACTTCTGCAATGAAATAAAACAAAATAAAGTAATATATGAAATGGCGAAAGATAAAAGGATCTGAACCTATTTGATTAACAATTAAATATGCAAATTCCCCGTTCATTCCTTAGGCAGTTTAAGAGTTCAGATGAAACCACATCTATTGATGCAATAATACTAGCCATCTGTATAAAAGGGTTATACTAGACACAACTGTAACCCATTTTTCCCCCAAAAAAGAGGAACTTAAGACCTCCAATAAGTTGCTACACTTATTAGATGAAAAATCAAGAGCAGCTTCAGTCAAAAATTTCTCCATCAATTTAAAAGAACATGAAAATTGTGAAATCTGTAAAAATCAACACTAGTTTAGTATTCTTTCTACTCAAAACTAGCAGGACCCTCAATAAATGAAATGGTAAAGATTAAATATAGAAACATGGTGGACTGGAGTGTGGTGTGCTCATACATTGCCTAATTGAAGAACTGCAGAAGGCTATTTGAAGCACCAGTTATCCCATGTGAGGTCAGGTACTTCTTTTTGTAACGTGGTGTTGGCTTTGTTATAAATAGTACCAGAGTCAAACCTGCCTTGCAGGTAGAAGATAAGTATCGAGGGCAATATCTTGAGCTGTCATATAATGAGATGTTCATTGGGGGTGCTGGGCAACAAGCATGGGTAATCCCATTCCTATTGAGCATCAGTTATATACACTTAAGAGTAAATATATTCTTTTAGGGTATGGTAACATGTTTACTACAAAAGTAACTAATAGTTTTATATTAGCTTCTTTGAGAGAAATATACAAACTAATCTAAGGTTGAATCAACTAGTATGACCCTTTATTTCAAACCAATGGAGGTTAAAATCCCCTTGAGACCACCTCCTCTTGGATTTTATAGCCGAACAGTTCTTTAACGACCATGGTGGTTGTGTCCAGCAAAGGTCCACAATTTTCAAACCCGATGCAGAGACTGAGGGATTTTTAGATGATCAAAAAGAAAAGGAATAGCAACTTAGTTGGAAAAGTTACTTAGCATCACATAGTGTTAGGATATAAAACAAAATTCAGTTGACTTGTTGACCAGCTGACTAGGATAGTTATTAAATGTTGTACTCACTGTTAGCTCAGCTTATCTTGTATAAAAGCAACTGTAACTACTTTACTTTTAATAAAAATAAAAACACAACAGTTTTCTCTCTTCTTCTCTGATTTTCTTTGTTCCTATTACGTGCTTCTTCCTTACTCATAGTGACCTTTGTTAATCCTACTCTTAACACGGACAGGATTGAAAGATAGCACTACTTTACTTTGTACGATATATTAACCCAATGTACCCCTAGTGGATCCCAAAAATGAAAAAACAGAAACAAAAACAAAACTTTGTTCAACTTCATTTTTTTTTTTTTTTTTTTTTTTTTTTTTATTCCCTCCCGCAACTTACCCCACAAATCCACTATTTGCATAAAGATTCCAGAAATAATTTTTTACAAACAACCACACATCGTCCATCTGCTCAATTTAAAAAATATTTTGTTTTTTTTTTTACACCCCATTTATCTAATATTCACCTTATCCAACATACCCTATTGGTATTGAAAAATTACCGAAATCTTATATTACTTAACACTAAACGTGATAATCAAATAATCTAAGATAACTACCCTCAGTATCCTATATAAAACCTCCCACCAACGCCCCGTGAGAGTCCATTTGATAGAAAAACGTATCAGAATACATTTTTCAACACTTTGATATGTTTATTTAATAACAAGTGTGAGAGTTCTCTCTGAGTGATAATTCAAAAACCTAAAAGATTAGTCCATGTCCTCTATGATATCCTCCCATGTGGACTGATAGATGTTTTCATTTTTTATTTTGTAATTTTATCTTTGATAAAGGTAAGAAAGACAAAAGACAACCTTTTTTTTTTTTTTTTGTTTCCTTTCTTTTTAGTAAAAAAAATTCAATTGTTTTTCCCTTTAGACGAATGTTCGCTAGTCAGTATTCTCATAAAGAAGATTATTGGTAAAATAATAAACAAAAAAAATTACTTATTGGTGTACCTAAATAAAATATCTTGGCCTGGTGTAATGTGCTACACAGAATACTAATTATTGTCGGTATCAAGGTTGGTCCCATTATAAAAAAAAAAAAAACAAAATTGTCAGCCAAAGGCATAAACAGGGGCCACTTACTATTCTACCACTATTCTTTGTCTGTTTTCCTCACGGGTTAATTAGTTAGGAGCCTTTTACTTTTATAATTTTGTGTTTATATATTTTTGTTTTTTAAGAATATAAAATAATAGAAAAAACATGAAAAAATTGAAATACAGTGCTATAGTTTATCAAATTAAAATTACAAATAACATTTTATACATTTATTTGAAAACATAACACATACAGGAGAACCTATACAATCAATGAAAAACCATTTCAACCTACCATTTATTTTGTTGTGTCTTACTTAAAAAGTTTGTCTCTAGAATATCATTTGCTAGTTTTCTGTTTGTCATTTTATGTTAAAATCTATGATTATAAATGAATTTGTTTTATAAAGAAGAGAAAAAATTTTATAACAAAGGAACCCACAATCCTCTCTCTTTCATCAACCCATTCTTTTATGCAATTTTTATCTGTTTCCAATCCAAGAAAAAGTAAACCAACATAGATTTTACAAGATTTCATGCCAAAAAAAAAAGTATACAAACAATACAGAGAAATATAGCCGCCCCTTCCTTTGAGTTTAAGGAAATATAGTCACATCCTAATGTTTGAAACCATATATAACGAAAATTTGTATTTTATAAAAGATAATTATTTACAACCCCGATGTTTCCTCATACACTAACCCTGTGGTAACATATTAACTATGAACCCCTTTCTTGTTAACTTTTTTACGTATTTTTAACGAGAGTAGGGGGGCAAATGATCTTTAATATACCTGATCCTCCCCATGCCATGTTTACCCACGCCACCTCCTTTTTCGCCACCACTGCACAGCCCGGGCTTGTTCAACCCAATCATGAAGCTATCCAGTGTCCGATTGTTCTTGTTCACTGTTACCTATTTAAAAAAAAAAAGATGCATACAACATGTGGACCCCCCAAAAGCTTCGATTAAACTGGATTTTAAATTGTGACAAGTACACTTGGATCTTTCAGATACATTCCACAATGGAAATGGATACCTAAAACATTTATTACGAATAAAAATAAGTTAACACAAACTTCAAATGCCTGGTCAATCACGTGACTGTTGTGCTATCTAGCCGGTAAAGCTCATTCTCATTAACAATTTACCGTTACAATTTACATCAAATCATTAGAAGACAGAAACGAAATATACAACTTTGTACTAATTAAACAAATCAATACAAATATATTGTCCGTGCCAAAGTAGAAAAAGCAAAGTGGGGGTATTGGAAAATTACTTAATTTTCTTCAAAAATCAGAATGCCCAATCAGCTGTGAGAACAACATGTACAACAATCATTTCGCAACAAAATCGCATAGTCGCATCAACTATTTTGAAATCCCCATTTATTTATATTAGACGCCCATAAAGAGTAAATTAAAAGGACCATAAAAAGAAGAAACAAAGAATTTAAGAAGGCGCACCTCAGACTAACCTAAACTGGTGTCCTTCCCTGCCGGACATAAATTCTAAAAGAATAAATGAAGTGTTTATGTGCACGAATAAGACCTTCTCCAGGTGTTCTACCGCTCAAGTAAGTACTGCAGTCCTGCACGACTGGGCCTCCTGGCTGAGGCGTAGGAGGTTTAATTCCAAAGGGCCTTACTAAGTCTCTGATGGTGGAGAAGACGTAACGTTTCCAAGGCTCGCTGCACCATAAGCATTTATGATGAGAAGATAGAGGTCAGAGGGACAAGACGTAAACAAAGTGATTGTAATTCAAACTTGTAGATTCTAGACTCACTTAGCCCAGCAAGCTCAATTTCGAAGCTACTCGAGATTTAAAACCGGAATCTAAGCTCTTCCCCTGTGAAAGCCAACAGCTGCTACAACCTACAGGCCACATAGTGTTGAGTTTTAAGTCCCCCCTCTAACAGAATTACCCAAAGCTGAATGCTTTTATGCTATGAGTGCTTAACAAATGCAGATTTCAATCCAGTATTGAAATAGAAAATCTTAATTGAACTACAATAAAAACGGAATAAAAAATAAAAAAAATCACACAAGCAGTATAGTAAATAAAATTTGGAAACACATATTAAAGCCGAGTAGGAATTATAAATGCGATTAAAATATTACATTATTACATTGACAGATATTTCAGTCCATCATTAATTGTTTAACTGTATAAGAATGCCTTAGAAGGGATGAATTCCTATTTGCATTTTTTAGGCCATTAAAGTTGTAGGTAAGAGGCGAAGGATTCGTAGAGGTATTGTGGATGATGCATTGAAAAAGTTTTACAACATACACAACAAAGTTCCCAGCAATCAACATCTACACCACATCAAGAAAATACATTTAAGCTGAGAAGGTGGAGTCCAGCATGTAACAGTCTGTTGGCTCACGTCAGCCACTTCTTTTCCTTGATATTAACACAAAACAATGAGTTGTTACAATAATTCTGAATTATTCTGACTAGATGGTATGTTTTATTGTTTCAATTAATAACCATAAGTGCAATCTCTAATACATGATACAATTATTGTTTTGAATACCGGATTCCCATCTAACAACATTTCATAATTTGAAATTCATGCAAGGCAAAAGATTAAAGAAACACACCTGCGCTGGATTTAAAGTTCCCCAGGGGCTGGTGCAATGTTGCAATCTCCCACAATATTACACCAAGCTGTATACATCTGGACTTCTCATTTGTGGCTCATCCGCAAGAACTTCCTGGTGCCATCCACTTCAGGCTATCATGATAAAAGGTGAATTAAATGCAATAAACCATTTTCATATGCCCC